ACTGAAATGAAAAAATAAACTAGAAGGAATCAGTAACAGAATAACTGAGGCAGAAGAATGGATAAGTGACCTGGAAGACAGAATGGTGGAAATCATTGCCATGGAACAGAATAAAGAAAAAAGTATGAAAATAAATGAGGACAGTCTACAGGACCTTAGGGACAACATTAAATACACCAACATTCACACTATAGCAGTCCCAGAAGGAGAGAAGAGAAAGGATCTGAGAAAATATTTGAAGAGATAATAGCTGAAAACTTCCTTAACATGGGAAAGGAGACAGTCACCCAAGTCCAGGAATCACAAAGAGTCCCAGGCAGGATAAACCCAAGGAGGAACACACCAAGCCACATAGTAATAAAATTGATGAAAATTAAAGATAGAGAAAAAAATATTAACAGCAACTAGGGAAGAGCAACAAATAACATACAAGGGAACTCCCATATGGTTATCAGCTGATTTTTCAGCAGAAACTCTACAGGCCACAAGGGAGTTTCATGATATATTTAAAGTGATAAAAGGGAAGAACCTACAACAAAGAATATTCTACCCAGCAAGGCTTTCATTCAGATTTGACAGAGAAATCAAAAGTTTTACATACAAGCAAAAGCCAAGAGAACTCAGCACTACCAGACCAGCTTTGCAACAAATGCCAAAGGAACTTCTCTAGGCAGAAGAGGCCACAACTAGAATCAAGAAAATTACAAATGTAAAATCTCATCAGTAAAGGCAAACATACAGTAAAGGTAGGAAATCATTTCCACACAAATATATCAAAACCAGCAACTGTGAGTGGAGGAGAGCACAAATGCAGAATACTGAAAATGCATTTGAAATTAAAAGACCAACAACTTAAAACAATCTTGTGTATATATAGACTGCTATATCAAAACCTCATGGTAGCTGCAAACCAAAAATCTACAATAGATACACACACAAAAAAAGAAAAAGGAATCCAAACACAACACTATAAATTCAGTCATCAAATCACAAGAGAACAAAAGAGGAAGGGAAGAAAAACACCAACAAAAACAAATCCAAAACAATTACCAAAATGGCAATAAGAACATACATATTGATAATTATCTTAAACATAAACAGATTAAATGCAACAGTCAAAAGACACAGACTAGCTGAATGGATACAAAAACAAGACCCATATATATGGTGTCTACAAGAGACCCACTTCTGATCTAGGGACACATACAGACTGAAGTGAGACAATGGAAAAAGATATATACATGCAAATGAAAACAAAAAGAAAGATGCAGTAGCAATGCTACAGATCTAGGGACACATACTGACTGAAAGTAAGGTATGTAAAAAATTCTATTCCATGCGAATGGAAATGAAAAGAAAGCTGGAGTAACAATACTCATGTCAGACAAAATAGACTTTAAAATAAAGACTATTACAAGAAACAGAGAAGGGCACTACATAATGATCAAGGGATCAATCCAAGAAGAAGATATAACAATTGTAAATATACATGCACCCAACATAGGAGCACCTCAATATATGAAGCAAATACTAACAGCCATAAAAGGAGAAACTGACAATAACACAGTAATAGTGGGAGACTTTAACACCCCGCTTTCATCAATGGACAGATCATCCAGACAGAAAATCAATAAGGAAACACAGGCATTAAATGACATATTAGACCAGGTGGACTTAATTGATATTTACAGAGCATTCCATCCAAAAGCAGCAGAATACACATTCTTCTCAAGTGCACATGGAACACTCTCCAGGATTGATCACCTGCTGGGCCACAAAGCGAGCCGCAGTAAATTTAAGAAAATTGAAATCACATCAAGCATCTTTTCCAACCACAACGCTATGAGATTAGAAATCAACTACAAGGAAAAAAACTGTAAAAAAACACAAACACGTGGAAGCTAAACAATATGCTACTAAACAACCAATGGATCACTGAAGAAATCAAAGAGGAAATCAAAAGATACCTAGAGACACACAAAAGTGAAAGCACGATGATCCAAAACCTATGGGACACAGCAAAAGCAGATCTAAGAGGGAAGTTTATAGCAATACAATCTTACCTCAGGAAACAAGAAAAATCTCAAACAAACACCCTAAGCTTACACCTAGAGCAACTAGAGAGAGAAGAACAAACAAAACCCAAAGTTAGTAGAATGAAAGAAATCATAAAGATCTGAGCAGAAATAAATGAAATAGAGATGAAGAAAATAGAAAAGATCAATGAAACTGTAAGCTGGTTCTTTGAAAAGATAAACAAAATTGACAGAACTTTAGCCAGACTCATCAAGAAAAAGAGGGAGAGGGCTCAAATCAATACAATTAGAAATGAAATAGAAGTTACAACTGACACCACAGAAATACAAAGGATCATAAGAGAGTACTACAAGCAACTATATGCCAATAACATGGACAACCTAGAAGAAATGGACAAATTCTCAGAAAGGTACAATCTCCCAAGACTGAACCAGGAAGAAATAGAAAACATGAACAGACCAATCACAAGTACTGAAATTGAAACTGATTAAAAGACTCCCAGCAAACAAAAGTCCAGAACAAGATTGCTGCACAGGCAAATTCTATCAAACATTTAGAGAAGAGTTAACACCTATACTTCTCACACTCTTCCAGAAAGTCACAGAGGATGGAACACTCCCAAACGCATTCTATGAGGCCAGCATCACCCCAATACCAAAATCAGACAAAGGTACCACAAAAAAAGAAAATTACAGGCCAATATCACTGATGAACATAGACACAAAAATCCTCAACAAAATACTAGCAATCTGAAACCAACCATCGGCAGGCAGACTCTCAACCACTGCGCCACCAGGGTAGCCCTGGAATCTAATTTTAAACAATGATACAAATAAATTTATTTACAAAACAGAAATGGACTTTGGGATATTGAAAACTAACTTACAGCTACCAAAGGGGAAACGTTGTGGGGAGGGATAAATCAGGAACTTGGGATGAACATTCACACACTACTATATATAAGATAGATAACCAAGGACATACTGTATAGGACAGGGAACTCTACTCCATATTCTATGATAACCTATAAGAGAAAAGAATCCAAAAAAGAATGAATATATGTATATGTTTAACTGAATCTGGTTGAGAGTCCGCCTGCCGATGCAGGGGATACGGGTTCGTGCCCCAGTCTGGGAAGATCCCACATGCTGCGGAGCGGCTGGGCCTGTGAGCCATGGCCGCTGAGCCTGCGTGTCCAGAGCCTGTGCTCCACAACGGAAGAGGCCACAACAGTGAGAGGCCCACGTACCGCAAAAAAAAAAATAAATAAATAAAATAAAAATAAAATTGATAAATTGTAATTTAATCATGTTATTTAGAAATATTCAAGTAGATATTAAAAAATAACAAGGAAAAATAGGTGAAATACTTGAAATGGGACTTGGGGTAGGATCTGATAAGATGGGGTAGTGCTGCTTTTTCATTATAGTTTTATAGTACGACTTGACTTTTAAAAATTACGTTCATGTGTTACTCTGATAAAAATGCTTATGCTGTATGCTAATTGCCATAAATGCTATGAAGGAAATTAGGGATACTGTAATGAGAATAATGGAGTGGAGAGTGCCAGATACAGGACAGTGTTCTTTAGCTGGAATGGTCAGAAAAGACTCTCTAAACCTGAAGGATGAGAAGCAATGTGGGTTGACAGAGCGTGAGAGTTTTCCAACACAGGAATATAGTCCATGCAAAACTCTAAGAATTCTTGAACCTGAAAGAAGCCTGGAGACTAGTAAAGAAGGGGTTTGTTAGAGATAAGATTTAAGAGGAAGATGTGAGTCAGATTATACTAGGTAGTAATGAGTCAGTGGTTATCCTAACTTTAACCCAAGGTACCATCTACATAAAATGCCCTTAGCTTTTCTTCTGTACTTGGTGGAAACCTCACATGTCCTAGTCCCTATACAAACTTGTCAAATGCCTACCATGTGTATTTTAAATATTGGATTGGCTAAAAAGTTTGTTCGGTTTTAAATAAAAATAAAACATTTTTCATTTTCACAAAGAATTTTATTGAACGTATTCACTAACTGAACAAACGTTTTGGCCAACCCAATATTTAGCATAGATTAGATGTGGGTATTTTCACTGGGTTACATGAGTCCATATGTGAATCAGAAAATTTTCTAGAATATTGATTTGAAAGATAGCTGATCTCAACATAAAAGTTTTTCCTTTAACTTTTATTACCCATAATCTGATATATTTTGTCAATAAATGCTAAACCTGTATTTGATGCGAAGGGTCATTAAAGAATATTTTAACATTGAATTTGGGCCTTTTATTATTATTGTTATGGGATCTGGGTATGCTTAAGACCAGTATAGTTTAGGAAGAATTGAATTCTGGTTTTGAAAATATCTACCTTTTAAAAATTTTATTCATTACTACCAGTTTCTTAAGAAAATTGGTTATCAAAATTGTGGACTACAAGAATTAATCTTATATCCAAAAAATAATTATTTTAAAATAATTTAAATTGTTCTGAATTTTCTTACAACAATATTCAAAGGAAATTTTGTTTCATACTGTTTTACCTAGAAAAGGTGAAATTTTGGAGGAGTGCGTGTATGTGTGTATACGTGTATGTACATCTGTGTGTGTCTTAGGCAGGGCAACCCTTCCCTACAAATCTTTTTCTTTCTTGTCCTTAAATTCCCCACAACTCTCTCTCTAACCCGATGCCTATTAATTCTTGTCTTTGTCCCATTTATTTATTTGATAAATATTTAGTGTATGTTAGGCAATATTCACTTTACTGTTGTAATCTTTGTAGAGCATTTGTGTTTGGACGTATCTAAAGGACTTTTTTCTGCATTATTTTTTTGAAGTACTATAATTGGCACAGAAGTAAAAACAGTTCAGATCTGCCACTAAATTAAAATCCTAACAGATACATATTTTTAGCCTCTGTTCTCTTCCAGGTACATTACCCAAATTTTCTGCATCTTTGTTTCTTATAGGTATGCTGGAGCAATGGAAAGATTGCAGGCAGAGACTGAACTTATTAACAGGGTAAATAGTACTTACCTTGTGAGGCACAGGACCAAAGAGTCAGGAGAATATGCAATTAGCATTAAGTAAGTGGGACAAGTACTTTTACAGAAATAGCTTTCCTGTTTTCATAATTGCATAGATCATCTGACATATATAACACTGAAGCTGAAAACCAAGGTTCTGATTGCAGCAGAAATAATGTATCATCTCTCCAGACAGTTCATTAATACTTGAAAATATCTGTTAGAAAAAATGGTATTGTGTTATAGGCTGCTAATTGGCATACTGCATTTCTTTCATAACATTGTACTTGATATGTGTATGTTTCTAGTAAATCCTAAGAATTATAAATTACTAGATTTTATTTTGTTTTTCCATATTCCCAAATTGATCTTATAAATAAATTGGGCATAGTGATTGATCAAATCTAACCCAACACCCCCGTCTCACTTCAAATATTGGTTGTATCTTCAACCAATCTAGTGAATGTATTTTGTTAATTAGCTGTCACCAGTGTATTGGCATAGGTATATATTTTGTCTTCAGAATTAATTCCTATAATGTTATTGGGGCATGCCCTCTGGTAATTATTGATTTCTACTGATTAAAAACACATTTATATTCATAAGTTATTCATTGCCCACAGGTACAATAATGAAGCAAAGCACATCAAGATTTTAACAAGAGATGGCTTTTTTCACATTGCAGAAAATAGAAAGTTTAAAAGCTTAATGGTAAGCATTGATTAGTTCTTTTCAATCTGTGGTCCTTATTTTTCTCCTATTAGAAAGGTCAGTTTAATTCTAGTTTCTTGGAGTATTTGCTCACTGAAACATTGTTTAAAGAGAATCATACCATAATTATGCAGCAGAATCCTGAAAATTTTAATTGTAAGAAATCTAGTTAAGTTTTATATTGCCCTAGACATATTTTTCATTGTAAACTAAGTTTACAAGTTTTAGATAATATTTCAGAGTCCACACTAGAAGATTCTTAGAGCCACAGACACGTTCAAAACAATCAACTTTCAGTTATTTGTGTTTTACCTTGTTTGAATGACACACAGCAGAGTTTTAACATGCTTCTTTCTTCCTCTGCCTCTATCTCTTCATTCAGGCAGAGGAAGATATTTTAAATTATAACATTAAAAAGTTGTAATTGGTAAAATACCTCTCACATTTAGGTTCATTTCATGCAAAACATACTGTCAAATGGAAAACCTTTTTGTATTTTCTGCTATTTTAGGTGACCTGTACTACAGTTCTTCATTACCTTGGACAATTAAACATTAACAAGGTGGCATTTTTACCACATGACAGTGATATTTCATAGGAATTTTACATTTAAATTGAACAGTATGTTGTTACCAAGTTGTTTCAAATAAATAAAGATTATTAATTCTGATGATTTTTAAAAGTGTAACTTAGCATATAAGAATAGTATATGTCATATCAACAATACATATATCAGTATGTCATTACATGTGCATTGCTTGTGCACATGTGCATTTACTGTCAATGCTTGTGCATTTACTGTCAATGCTTGTGCATTGACAGTAAAGAAGAAAGTTCTTATTTCATGAAAAATGATCTCAAGTCTGTTTCTCAAGTTTGCAAGCATTTCTTGAGATAATGAAGAATTTGGAGATAGGACATAAGATGCATTTGTAGCACTCTGTTAAGTACTTTGAGTAACATTGGGAAGGACCACTCATTGATTGAACCATCAGTCAAATGATACACACTGCATCGTTCCAGAAAACATCTCAAAGCACTTTGCAGATGTTAACATTAAAGGTAAAACTGAGCGTGAGAGAGCCTTACAAAATAAGCCAGCTTGAAAGCCTTATCTAAAAATTTAGAACTGCTTCAAGACAGGAATCAGCGTTTTAAAGAAACTGAAGCATCTTGAGTTGAAAGAAAAGTAAGAAAACCTCTTTGGACATAAATATCACATTCCTAATTCAAAAGCTAAGGATGGGTAGCAAGACTGTGTCCTGGAAAATGTAAACCCTGTCAAGTTGGCAACCAAGATCCAGGTATCCTCCCTGCTGGCAGTGAGTTATGTTCTGCTGGAACAAGCAGGCTGTGCACAGAGAAAACTGGACCTGAGGAGGTTCTTCCCTAAAGGAAAACCTAGCAGGGAGGTAGCAAGTGGATGCACAAATAATGAGTAACAGCCCCAGCCGAGACATGATAAAAGCGTGAACAGGGAGTCTCCACATCGCTGCAAGACACACCAGCTTGACTCACCTGAAGAAATTAGGGTGGTTGGTAATGAAGCTGCTCCGTGGTACTATAGTTAATATGAGGCTTTAAAAAAAAAAAATGCTGTAGGGCCAAAGCTGACTACCAGCCTTGATGACTTTGAAAGCAACAAAAGGGACTTGCAGGAGATAAGCGAAGAGGATGAAAGGAATAGTCACTGGAGAGGGCCAATCAATTCAGCTCTTTGTCACCTGGATTCAGCTCAAGAAAGTTCCTCATCCTCTAAGGTCAGATGTGAAAAGCCAGTAAATACTGCACGACCTGGATTAGTGGACACAGATCCTCAAGTTCCTATCTGCATGTAAAGCTGTTATTATAGTATAAGCAATAAAGACCCAGAATTCAAATAACTTGGACCAGAGAGCAGTAAAAGTTTCTGCAATGATGTTCTGGAAAGGGAATTAAAAGTAGTTGTCACAGAGCTAAAATAAGCTCCCCTTATATGCTATGTGTAAGACATCAGAAATGCCACTGCAAGAGACACATGCATGTTTTTTCCTCCATATCTGGGGATCTTTTGTAAGGAAGTACATAGTGCAGAGGGTTAAAGGGAGGGGATTAAGAATTAACTGCAAAACTACAATGAAAAAAAAACTGCAGCAAAAGGATATGACAGACAAGGAGCTGAACAATCTCAGCCTTAGATGAATACTTCTGTCAGCTCTTACAAAATCACTGTAAACGTTGCTGAAGAGAGTGTTGAAGTTGTCTGGACCTACTTCCTCCTCTTTGTTTCTGTTCATTTGTTGAACAAATTTATATTGAGTCCTCACTATGTGAAGTTACTGTGCTTTTGCACAATTCAAAAAGGACTCAACTGTTCAAAACAGCTTTCAAATTAGTAGATCTCTGTGTACTGAGAACCTCACAATAGTGCTGTCCTTTGACCCTCCGCTGGGAAATGCCACATGGATACCTGATCAGAAGGAATGGCTCCTATCTCAGTAACTAGCCCCTCTGGAAGAAGAGAGACGGTTGATAGGCACCTTGGGAACGTAGGGGCTTCTCTGAACCTGCATCATGCAACCTCAAGGAGGTTACATTTTATCGTGTTGGTGTCAAATAACACAGTTCCCATTATAAGTACGTAACAGTCTATGCATTTTCTTTAGTTCAGTATCTTCCCATCATGGCTGGTAAAGTTATATTCATCTACCTAATGACACTCATTAGGGCCTGGAATTAAATTTAATTTGGAAAGGATGTAAAATGAAAACGAAATCCAGAATTTGTTTTAAATTAGCCAGTTTCTCGAAAAGAAGATTGGCCTCAGGTGGTTATGACCTAACCTTTTCCCTCTGGTTTCAATGGCTCGGTTAATCAAAATCTTTGTTTTTCTTAGTCAGTAAATCCAAATTCTAAATGAATTTCTGTATCCAGATTACAAGACATTAATTTTGTTCTAATTTTCATGTATGCCAGACAGTCCCTGTCCAAATGCTGTTTATAAATCAGCTCCACTGCCTGTTTCCTTGGTAATTGGAATGACTGGCTCTCACTCATTATTTTTCAGAGAGACCTGAATTGTTGACACCACTGTGTCAGTGTGAGATAAGGAAAGCTTAGCAATTTCTTTTGTTTAGAGTCTTCTTCTTTACTTGTAGTACTTGAAGGTCAATGATTGCTAAAGCAGAAGTGGATTAGACTAAAATACTGAAAGGCATAAGTTGGAAGAGATCCACCATGGCACTATTTAATTCTACCCAGTTAGAAAGATGTAGGGAGATTTACCCTCATAAGACTGTAAAAATGGAACTAAAATATCTTCCATGCTCAGTGAAGTGATAAAAAAGTGTTTTACAGCTTACCAAGCCACATGACCCTAGGCCTTGGAAAAGTCATTTTTTTCTTCCATAAAATTTGGAGGTGGGTAGGTATTAAATGATGACCAAGTCCTTTTCAGTAATGATAATTCTGTAGTTTCTAGCCAACTTCACATAAACCTTAATTCATACTAATTCATGATATCATGCATAAAATTCATATTACTTATAACAAAATTACACTGAAGTTCAAAGTTATTGGCTTATAATTACTCTCAGGTTGATTTTCACATTTTTGCTAAAGAAAAGAACACATTTCATTCAGTTTAAATGAGAAGACTAAGAGAACTGTTATATATATATATATATATATATATATATATATAGTGTCGCTGATGCAAATGATAATAAAGTGTACCGTTCTTCCAGAGACCTTACAAAATTTTGCATTTAAAGAAATTAAATGATAATATTGGTCTCTAAGTAGAATTTAATTCCAGACATTGCCTTTGCGAGCCATGCTAAAATCACCATAATATAAATGCCACATTCTGATCAGTGAAGTCATTTTGAGGATATAATCTTCTGATATTTTAACTTTTTTTTTTTTTTAAGTTGGTCAGGTTCCACATTCCTTTGCTTCATCAAGGGCACCCATAATCTGGGCCCAAGCAAGGAAGAAAGGATGGAAGAAAATATTTTTAAGTGTCAAACCATAGCATCTTGGGTCTAAGAGAACAAATTCCTGGTATACCATAGATACTTAGAAAATGCTCCTTCCCTTTGCTTCACTTTTTGCATATTTACATTTGCCAGGTACTATTTGTTAATAATATGATGTAGTTCAGAGCACAAACTTTGGAGCCAGACACCAATTATACAGACTTGCCCAAAGCTGATTAATCTCACTGAGCCTTGAGCATCAGGGCGAAAAGGCCCATCTCTTGTTTCTTGTTTGAAGATTGTAAGAAACTATATAAAAGGCCTGGCACATGGGATCATGGTAACTCTCATGATTATTCACACATACCAGGCACTTTATACATTCTTTGCTATAGCCTGTGAAATGGTTTATTATCCCCAGATGTGAAAGGTAAAGAATCTCCATTTGCCTTATCCAGTACTTTAGCCAAACCAGGCTCCTTTTAGTTTATGAACGTGGTCTTTGTTATGTTTGTGTCTGTTCCCAGCCTGACTGCTCTACTTAAAATAATCCTTCCCTCCTTCCTGGCTTTTGAAATTTTACCTGTTCTTCAATTTAAGCCAAGCTACCTCCATCATGAACTCTTCCCTCATCCTCCCCACTGGACTCAGAAAAGGAAGCTCTCTTTCTTGCCTTTGAACTCCCATAATCCTTCACTTTCCGTCAAGGGTGAGGACACCTAGGAACCTTATCTTCAAAATCTCTGTGACCCCCTGGAACTCCCCACACGATGCATTCCACAACTCATCCGAGTTTGGTAAAAAATAATAAATAAATCATTGATGATCCTCTTTCTCTTCTTTTGGGTGATTTTTGGCCCGACTGATTTGTTTTGGGAACTTTGAACATACCCATTGAATGGAGATACTGAATCGACGACAGTGTGGTTTTTTAAAGAAATGAGTTGCTTTTATACTGTTTGTTTTAAACAATAGTGCTGTAGTAGAAGCACTGAATAATTAGATTAAAAGTGATTATGCTTTTATTTTCATTTCAGGTTTTTCTAAGAAACGTCTATAGTACTCATCTAATGATAGTATGCATTTTTCCATTATGAATTAATCATTTTTCAATTTCTGTTTAAAGTAGAGGGATTCAGATTTGTGCAGAACCTATGAAACCAACATCTCGAAAGAAATTTCCTGAAATTTTAGTATGAAAGATGGTGGGTGGTTATTATATTAGGCTTGGATGCATTGGGGCAAATTAGGTATAAGAGAAAATTGGAAAGAACTACATTATTGTACCAGATGACATTAAGTACCAGATGACAGCTATAAGAAGGGCACTAACACTTCCTCATAAGCCAGAAACAATGTCAAGTAAGTAGCATTTGTAGCTTAACAACTTTGGCTTACCATGGAAGAGTACATTTAGGATTGAGTTTGTTTTTCTGCTTATGTTGAAAGAAAATGCAGGAAGCTAGAAATTGCTATATATTCATAAAACAGCTGTTGCCGTTCTAAACAAAAATAAAGGGAGTTATTTCATAAATAAGAACAATAATTACTGCTCTGAAACTGAGGTTTAGTATGGCTTCTCTTTACTTACTACAACTGACTGAAGACTACAGGATGTTGGGCAGCAAGAGGGGGTAACTCACATTATAAATGGCCTGGGTAGCAAGGGCAATTACTAGTTAGGTGTCATGCACCTCCAGGCTGCAGGGAGAGATGATCATTTACTCACACTAAGATAGGCTTATGGAAAATTTAGCATTAAATTGATCATCCCTCTATTGTATATAATCATGTGTCAAGGAATTCATGTGTTTGATTCTTTTTTCCTAAAGGAACTTGTGGAGTACTACAAGCATCACTCTCTTAAAGAAGGATTCAGAACCTTGGATACAACTCTGCAGTTTCCATACAAGGAGCCAGAACATTCATCTGGACAGAGGGGTAACAGAGCAGGCAACAGCTGTGAGTATTGTAATTTAGAATACAATTTGCTGTCACTTAAGGATCGAAGGCATGATAACATTAAACATCTTCATTCCAGATTTTGGAATAGAACCAATTAATATGCTGATGTGTTTAACAAGGAATTTTTCTGGAGCAAAGCAGAATCAGATGGACCAACAGGTTTATGAACATGCCTAGATTTAGTTCTTCATGCCAAATTAAAAATCATGTGTGTGTTAAATCCATCAGAAATATAGGGTATGTTAATATGTAAGTTTTGTACTTTTCACTGACTTTTATATTAGCCAAACGCTTTTTAACTGATACATGTTTATGGTCATAATCCTGTTTGATTAACAGTATTGAAGCAAGGCTGGTGCACAGTTCTCCCATCTAACCTTGCACTGCAAGTCTTCTTATAGATTCTATTTCAATGATTACTTTCGGAACTTTGAAATAGCTAAAAGCATGTTTCCTCTGATGCCAATATTTAAAAGTAAACATTAGCCACTTCTTTTCAGAATGAGCACTGTGCCACAAAAGATTAGCACACAAACAGAAAGCATGTTATAGTTTGAGTGTGAGTTCAACTCAAAAACGTTTTTCTCGTCACCGTTTAATGTCATATAATCTTCCTGTTAATAGATATAGCATGTAGAGAACACTATGATGAAAAAATGCTATGAATAAAGTGTGATTTCATCCTCTTATTTTAATTTCATAAAACTTTTTTAGAAGAGAAAGGAATACAATTTTATTACCCTCAGAAGGTTTAGCCTAAGCAAAATAGGAATATCTAGAGGTATTTGAAATAAAAAGAATTTGCATCATGTAATATAACTTTTTTTCCCTAAAAGCAGAAACTGAAAGGGAAGCAACGCTCAGGGCACTAACACCACCAGTAAAATTTCATAACATTTCCATAAAGTAAATATACAAGTAATTTGTCACATCAACTGACATTTTTTTTTCAATTTGAATAACTTAATAGATGTTCTCTTCACAAGGATCAGTGATAAGTGAACAAGATTGTGCAATGAAAGTAGTCAGAGCACACTTTTTGTTGAAACTGTAAACACATTAAAATTTATCTTTCAGTTTTTAGCTCACTCTTACCCAGTTATCTTAGATGCTCATATAGGCCATAAGTTTTACTCACTCAAAAATGGAACTTCCCCAGGCTTCCCTGGTGGCGCAGCGGTTGAGAATCTGCCTGCTAATGTGGGGGAACGCAGGTTTGAGCCCTGGTCTGGGAGGATTCCACGTGCCGCGGAGCAACTAGGCCCATGAGCCACAACTACTGAGCCTGTGCTTCTGGAGCCTGTGCTCCGCAACAAGAGAGGCCGCGATATTGAGAGGCCCGTGCACCGCGAGGAAGAGCGGCCCCCTCTTGCCACAACTAGAGAAAGCCCTCTCACAGAAACGAAGGCGCAACACAGCAAAAATTAATTAATTAATTAATAAACTCGTACCCCCAACATCTTCTAGAAAAAGAAATGGAACTTCCCCTTAAGAAACAATTTTTTCTACAAACTTCTTAAAAGCCTACCAGGGTTATGACATTTTTCCCTACACGAAAAGTATAACTTTCAATTCTTTTACTTTGCCTTCCCAGTAGCAGGAGATAAAGTTGCCCAGGAGGTCAGTTACACTAAAAATCCTGTCTGAGTTGTTTGCTTAGTTTTAGAAAGTCCGGGTGAGAGGGACTGGCAGTCAGGGAGAGCCGGTATCGCAGTCAGTGGAAGGTTCTTAACCCTCTCTTTCACTGTGTGGTCACTCTCAGGCACTCCTGTGCTTGGCACATGCGGGTGCTCAGAGAATATTGGTCAACTACGAATGAAGTCTCCTAGCTAAAATTTTTTCTAGTGTTTGACCAAGTATTCAGTGCTCAAACTTGTTTAGCCACTAGGGATGGCATTACAGGCTCTTTTTCTTTTTCAAAGCATGACCAATAACATGATTTTGAGCGTCCATGCAAGCTACATTCAGTTATTCGTTCCTTCAGCATATAATAATTACCTAACGCAGAAAACGCGCTGTTCTAGGTATTGGGATTCAGCAGAGTCCCTATCCTTATGGAGCTTATATTTTAATGAGGCAGCTCTGGCAAGTCTGGGTTAGGAGTTTGATATTTTTATATAGGATGATCAGGGAAGATCTCACTCCTAAAGTGACCAGAAAGAAGTGAGGGCATGTGCTGGTATGTCAGTCAGCAATAATTTCCTGATGGTCTACACTCCAAGATTATTCAGCAGGATTATAATCTTAGATCAAGTGTATATTATCCCAGTGTTTTATTTACTTGTTGCTGACGTTTCGTATGAAATGAGGACACTATGATGATTTTGAGCATTGAATGAGGTGCTATACGTTAAGGCATTTAGCAGAGTGCTGGTAACATGGTAAACACGCCATAAAAGTCAGCTGCTGCTGATTCTACCACTTCTACCACAGCTGTTGCTTTCCTACTACTACTAGTCACTTCTCTAACACAGCAAACATTTTCCTGTATTTCTAATTGTTGAATTACTAGTTTTAACTCATAGCAATTTACATCTTTGCTTTTATGATTTTTTAAAATACCCCTTGCTTATTTTATACCAAGTCCTGATTAAAGGTTAACCCTTAATTAAAACACTGCTTCAATTTTTACACACGTGTCTCTCAGGAAGTGGTAAAGAGGAAACTCTACATATTCTGTATAGAAAGATTGTGCAGGATGTCTTTAGAGTCCTTACCTCTGGTTCACAGCTTTGGGCGTGCTGCTGAATACCATCTCAGAATAACTTTTATGAAGAAGTAGTACCTTGGGATACAGGACAGGGCATGGCATCTTCATTGCTTCTAAGTAATGGAGGAAGCAGAGCAGGCAAGCCAAAGCCTAGGACCACGCTGTGTTCTGGGTGGAGGTTGAGATTGGAGTTCTAACTCCTGAAACCTGCGATTTATTATTATTTTTCTCCTACATGCTACATAGTCACCTTGGAAAAGAAAGTCCCAGGGCATCGCAGAAGAGGCTGCTTGCTTCTGTATTAGTCTAGGTTTGGATGTTCTTGGGAGAATTAAAAACTCTTCTCAAGTTTGTAAAATATGGTAAGATTATGACAGGCCTACCTCATGCAATTGCAAAATAACATATATAGGGCTTCCCTGGTGGCGCAGTGGTTGAGAGTCCACCTGCCGATGCAGGGGACACGGGTTCGTGCCCCGGTCCGGGAAGATCCCACATGCCGCGGAGCGGCTGGGCCCGTGAGCCATGGCCGCTGAGCCTGCGCGTCCGGAGCCTGTGCTCCGCAACGGGGGAGGCCACAACAGGGAGAGGCCCGCGTACCACAAAACAAAACAAGACAAAACAAAAAACATATATAAAGACACTAATTAGAATTAAACAGACATCCAGAGTATTGGGCAAGGAGCGTGTAGCATTTGTAGGTGAGGAGCCCGTTGTAAGCAAGGCTCTTTCCTAGGGCTGTGAGACTTTTTGCCTCCACAATGACTTGAGTGTTTCAAGAGAGATGACGAGAGGAAGGAAGAGAACAAAGAGCAGTCAGGCACAACAGTGAGCCGTTGTGCTTCCCTAGAAACTGCAGTGGCTCCGTGGTTCTGTGGATCTGTGTAAGAATCCCATTACTTTCCAAAAACGGTCGCAGGAAACGTGCCTTAGACTGCTGCGGGTGTACTCCTAGGGCCTGTGTATTTGAAGGGCACTGAACTGACTTTTGCCTTTCTTTCTGTACAGTGAGCGCTTAATTATTTTCAGGTCTGCTACTGAGTAGCTGTCTGACCCCAGGCAAGTCACTTAGCCTATTCGGGCCTCAGCTTTCTCACCTGATGAATAAGGAATGAGATTAGATATTTTATTATGTTCTTTAAAAAATAGCATGCTAGGTTTCTTTCTTTGTATGCATGAGAGAAGGAGGTAAGGTAGAATGGTAATAGACCGTTACACCTGGAAAAGTTGCACAATTAGCTGTTTCATTACCTATTAATAGACCTTAAGCATTTTCCCAAGTAAATGGAGAATTAGTTGGACCACAGAGGTGGCTCATGTTTAAAAAAAATGTCACAAGACCTTATTAATTACTAAAGAGGGAAAATAGAAACACCTAAAAGTGATCAAAGTTAACATCACCAGTAATGGGACAACTAGATATCATGCACCTCCTAATGTGATGCTCTGAGAAGTATGTAACACCACTTTTGTGGTATTCCTGCCCCCCAGGGTGCACAATTTGAATCTAATCATGAGGAAATATCAGAGAAACCCAAACTCAATGACATTCTACAAAATAATTGGCCTATGCTCTTCAAAAATGTCAATGTCATGAAAGACTGCAGAATTGTTTCAAATTGAAGAGAAGGAGACCAAAGAAACATGACAGCTACATGCAACATGTGATCCTAGGTTGAATCCTGGACCAGAATTTTTTTTTTTTTTTTTTTGCTTTTTGCTATAAAGGACACACAGGGAACAATTAACACATTTTGAATAAGTTTCTAGATTAAATAATTTTTGTTTTTGATAATTGTACTGTGATTATATAAGAGAAGAAAATGCCTTTGTTTTTAGGAAAGACACACTGAAATATTTAGAGATAAAGGGCATTGTCTGCAACATATTCTAAAATAGTTCAGGAAAATATAGAGATGATAAACATGGTAAAATATTAACACTTGAGGAGTTTGAGTGAAAAAATATATAAGAATTCTTTGTACTATTCTTGCTACATTTAAGTCTGAATTATTTCAGAAGTAAAAGTTTTAAAATTTCGAGATGATCCGTTTACCTGAGAACTAACAGAATTGGGAGAAAATGGCAGCATTCTCCTCTTTCACCTGTTCCAGGAGCAGGGGCAGCTTGGTGCACTGATTTTAGGGTGTGTAGAGTACGGAGTAGGACGTATTTGAACCATCTCTTCCTTACCCGTAACCTCACTGTATTTACTTGCTCATTCCTTCATTGTTTTATTCAACAGTTATTTATTCAACACTTACTATGTGCCGAGTCCTGTTCTGGA